TGGTGAAAGTGGCCGCCTGTTGCTGGCGAGTCATTGAAGTACTGCTGTCTAATGCACGCCCAATGACGGCACGCACAATGAGGGCACGAGATACATTTGTGCGTGCACGAGATGGAAGGCTGACAGAAAGGGCGGCAATCCAATCCGTTTAGTAGTTTTTACAGTATTACGGGTTCCACAGATGACATTTTTTTATAGATTTTTTAGTACTAAAGCACTTAAGATATTCATTGCTATCGGGATGTTAAGAGCATTCCTTGGAATATAACAAAAAGTGTATCTCGAGCCGGTTTTTGAAATTTACCTACCCCACCTTTAATCTCAAAGAATTCTCACTTTAATCTCAGAATTCTGACTTTTTTCTCAGAACAAAAAAAAAACGTTTTTTTTTCAAATCCTCCCAAAAAAAAAAATCATGTGGCCCTAATCCTCTTCCGTATACATTTAATATGGTTAATATATAAAAACTTAGCAATAGTGATTGAAACAATGTGGTTTTAAAATGCAATATTTGACAAAAAATCCAATACTGTTGGTTTAGTCTTTTTAATATTGTAATGGAGAAAAGTGACATACTGCGGATGTGGTTGTCGGCGCAGTACATCATGTCAGCAGCGTGGATGAATTGGTAGCCGGAGCCTTTCGTACACAGTTCAATGTCTGTATAACCCAGAATAATCTTCCCCCTGGAGAGAGACAGAAGAAAAACATTACGTTTGTTAAACTGGAAGATACTTGGAAGAAAGTGTTCACCCATTAGCTTGTCAAGATAATAAATCAGAGAAAGGAAGAATTTGTCCTACCTGCTATCAGCGCCCAAAGGTGTGAAGTCCAGCTTGTGTTTGGTTTGAAAGAGGAGCATTTTAGACCTGATCTCCACGATGGTTGGAGGCTGGACGGGCATGGCGATGGAGAAGAGAGCCAGCTGAGGTTTGCTACCGTTCCCATTGTCCCTCAGCTGCCTCTGGCCGTGGAGGTACTTCAGTCGCCCCTGGAACTTTAGAGCCTGGTATGGGTGAAAGAAAATCAGATGAGTAAGTCAGACCGAAAACAAGCCAACAAGATATAATGGATAAATGGACTTCTATACTTAAACTGGCTGATTCAACTTCTCTATGTGCGCGTCACTGCTTAATTCAGTTCATAGTGCTCATATTTCAAAAGTCAAACTATCCAAAATGTATCCTGATGTTAGTCCCTACTGTGATAAATGCCTAATTAATGAAGCCTCTCTCATTTATATGTACTGGTCCTGTCCCCGCCTAAGCACGTACTGGATGGAGATTTTCCAAACTCTATCCCAAGTGTTCAGTATTGAACTGGATCCAAATCCTCTGGCTGCCCTATTGGGGGTAATAGGAAAGGAGATGCGTTTAACTGCAGAACGGCAGCGATCTTTTGCTCTCCTCTTAGCTCGTAGAGCCATCCTGCTTAGATGGATAGACAGTTTCCCGCCCACTCATCTACAGTGGTTGACAGATGTTATGTCCTGACTCCTGTATGAGACTTGAAAAGATCAGATACTCACTTCTATACTCAAACAGTACATTTCAGGAAGCCTGGGGACCTTTTTATAAATACATTCCAAACTCTGTAAATCATTCTGTTATTGGTTTAGCTTAAGTGCAGCATATGTATGTATGTATGTATGTATGTATGTATGTATGTATGTA